CCCCCCCCCCCCCCCCCCCTCCCGCATGCGCACCCCGCTTGAAATCGAAAAACGCTTAGACGACATTACGCGGCCCAACTGTTGGATCCCCCTAATGCCACGCCCCTCCTCCCGCGTGCCCCTCCCGAAATCGCAAACGTTCAGACGAGGTGGCGTTCCGGTGCCTGGGAGTCGTGCACCCCGTGACCCACGCTGTGGGCAACACGTTCAAGCGCGTGTTCTTGATCGCGACGTCGATCATTGTGTTTAAGTCCAAGCTCACCCCGCTCGCGGCGATGGGTTCCTTCATGGCCATCGCTGGCGTGCTGCTGTACAGCCTCACCAAGGAGTGGTGCGCCAAGCAGGAGGCGATCAAGGCGCAGGCCCACAAGTAGATGGACCGCTCAATAAGGGAGGGAACAGCCATTTAGGGGGCAGAGATAGCTCAGTATGTGTTTGCTTGCGCAGAGAGGGATACCACCCCCCCAGTCCCCCCCAGACCCCGCCCCTGGCCCAGTGGATGGGTGGTCGGTCTCGTCCTCTCGAGCTGAATGCAAGTTTTTGGTAAAAGAATGTGCTCTTCTTTTCTCATGTTCTGGGCGGGGGGGATGGGGGGTACAGTGATTGTTTTGGGGCTCGCCCGCGCTTCATTTGAAAACTCTGGTGCCCAGAGAGGAAGCTTTGGTGCTGAGGCAGGGCCGAAGGGCATCGTTTTTTCGGTCCTTTTCGCTACACTCCTTCCACCACGCTTTACTTTGTTTTGGGGGAGAATTGGTTTGTCTCGATTCTCGGGGGTCCAGAAAAGGTTGCGGGACTTGACCAACGCCGCACGCACGGGATTCGGGTTTCTTTTTTTAGACGAGGGATGTTTGCGGCACAGAGGGAGGCTGCGCTGCTGGTGGTGGCCTTACCCCGTCGTGCGATGCGTGACGCGCGAAGCTTCGCTCTCGCCGTGGTGGCTGGCTCTAACAGGGTCTTTGGGCGGGGATGGGATTGGGATTTAGAGAGAGTTCCATCCCTGCCACGCTTTGGCGATCTAGATTACAAAAAAAAAGCTTTTCAGTGAAGGTAGAGCTTTTCAAGGGGGTGTCATGTTCCCGGGACCTTGAGAAGGTAGGTCCTGATCGGGGTCGAATGTGGGACCTTTGATGATATCCCACGAAAATTTCAACGAGGGCGTTAAATTAAAACCAGCCAGAATGACAGACACGCTTTCGTTCGTTTTTGCTTGCTTTTTTTCCCGTGCCTTGTGCCACATGGCGGTGGTTTGGGACTGATACCTACGCGTCGTCGTGGTGTATACGCATGCATACGGCATACGATCCTTTGATGCCCATCTCTTGCCCTCTCGTCCCCCCCCCCCAAACTCTCCTCGGCCTCGCGCGAGCACTAGCAGCACTAACAGTTGGCGTTGTGTTGCAGCACGAGGGCCGCGCTCCAGAAGGTGCTCCCTTGGCTGGCTGTACATACGCTAGATCCTTAGAGAGGGGACGTTGGGTTTGCATCCCCCCATCACACGACGACTCTTGCCTTGTTGGCGTGTTTGGATTCCTTGGATTCTGGGCCTCGCCTCGCGCAAGCGGTTCCTGCTTTCTTTGATGTATTCGTATTCCTTTCCAACAGCAGTAAGCGGAGCTCGCCGATTTGGTCGGTGGCCACAGCAGCCCGCCTCGCTGTCATTATTCGGGATTCCTCGTAACCGCGTTGCTTGTCCCCCCCCCCCCCCCCCCCCCCCCCCCNAGACAACATTCACATTTGACATTTTTGGTTTTACGCAGTTCTTCGCCAACTACGGCCCATAGACGTGCACGTACAGAGAGACATTGTTTTGTTCTCGTGCCTCGTTTTGTTCGGCCGCTATTTTTTGGGGGGGTCACGTTGCCGTTGGCCACTACATACAATAGCTCGCAAGATTCTCTCACGTACGTAGGCCGCGATGTCTTGAGCTACGAATTCTTGGGTCACCATTTTTGAACACCACGATTTCCTGCGCAAAAACGTCTTCGTAAGTCACGGTACTCGAGGGCCACGAATTCTGAGCCCAAACCCTTAAATGATCATGTTTGCATAGCCCCCTACCCCGCACAGAATTGGGCGACCCCTCGAGTTTTGCACCCTAGTCCATCACGTGTTGGGGAGAAAAGCAACACCAAGATAATTCCTCACGACGCCACTGGGGAATGGACCAAGAAGCTGCTGCAGCGTGCATCAACTGCTTCGGAACCTTCGACGCCCCCTCCTCTACTACTGCTGCTGTAGACTGCAGCAACAAAATTCCTCTGATTCTTGCACGAACATTCATCACGTTCTCGAGTTCCCGTTTCAAGCCCATCGTATTGATGTCCACAACGGTCTACGGCAGTGTAAGTGATGATGTGGGAGATGATACCCCACGCCGGCAATAACGAACTGCAGCACCGTTTGGTGGTACTTGCCTACATCCTTTGCACAATTATAATAGCAAGGGCACCATGTAACATCGGTAATATACCGTGTGCGGCTCCTTTTAGACTGGTATTACGCATAGACCAGGCAGATCTCCAGAATTTCAACGAGTCCGCGGGGAGACGAATTTCCATTTCTTGTGTAAGAAGACATGATCTAGGGAGATCTGGCGCGACGGGGATACCGCCGTCTGAAAATATCGTATCATGGACAGTTCGTCGTTAATACGTGCACAATTTGACCATTCATGACAATCACGTTGCTTACAGACAGGCAAAACATATCTACCAAGAAAGACATAATCGACTTCGTAAGTCGCGAGGGAAGATTGCTGTATGTACCCTTCTCGCGATAAAAATACCTCAGGCAGGAACCGCAGGAGGGGGTCCAGCCCCCCCCTCCTATGTGACCCCGGTTGGGTCGTCCAGCAAGTAGAAGTAAGTGGAGGATAGGGGCCAGAGGGGCAGACGACAGAATCAGATGATGGGAGAAAACAAAAAAAATATATATATATATATATATAATACTTGGAAGACGTTAAGGAACGAAGCGGACAAGACTACTACTGGGCGACCATCTATATCGCATCCCGGGCAGGTGCTTATAGACTGACCATGAACTCCAGAGCGGCGGCGCTGCGTCAAAAAAAAAGGCACAGCCAACTACATTTGATCACGTGCATGTTTTTGAAGGAAAACAGATACCTATGCTTACCGGCTGTCAACTGGACACTGTCCTCAGCCCCCCCCACGAACGAACGAACCAGAGAGAACAATAAAAGCACACGAAAATATTAAAATACGTGGGACTGTACGACAGCAGTAGCAATACCAGAAAGTACGAACGTACAATACGGAGGGGGCGTCCAAGCAAGCGAGACGCAGGTAGGGAACCGACAACAAAAAGAGAGAAATAACGGCGGTTGCATGTGAGAAACGACCAAGCAACCCGTCGCAGACCATCGAAAAACCGACAAAACCACCGACAAAACCGACGACGCATTGATCGTGGACACGCAAGAAAGGAAGGGCGAGGGAAACGGAAAAAACAGAGAGGGGTCATGAACACACCCGCCCGCGTGTGCATCTTTCGGTCTAACAAGCGCGACGCGCCCCTCCTCCTCCACCTCGTCCCTCGTTATCTAAGCACAAAAGGCCCTCGTAAGTCAAAACGTGCGGCTTACTCCCCACCCGTGTCCAAAACGCAAAAAAGATATGATGACCTATATTACATACGTCACTGAGACATGATGTTGACCGTGCCCCCCCCCCCCCCCCCCCCCCCCCCCCCCCCCCCCCCCCCCCCCCC